TTGCCTGTGGACGTAGCCCAATTAGGTGAACCACGTAAATTCTTGTGTGTCCCATTTCTCATGTTATCTTGTCCCTTACCTTTTGTCTTATTGGGTTTGCATGCCAATATCCTATCAGTAGTATTAGAGCTTTCTAGTTGGTGTTGTTAATACACAAAAGTTATTCGTGTATACGACACTATTCACGTATACGACACTGTTCACATACGTTACTGTTAGCGTATATAGAAAGTTAGTGCGGTGATTAAATACAGTCTAGGAAGTTCTGTCTAAAGAGATTGAGTTTTAAACAGGACCGTTTGTGACCCCTCCAATCTTTCCTAGGAACTTACTTAGTGAAGTATTATTCACACGATAATATTTCTATATACGTTACAGATCTGTGAAACGGTGATAGTAGAATAGATCTCAGTGAATACAATGGCAGCAAAGGATGAGATTGAGAGGGTTAATGAGGTGATAGCTGAATAGATCTTGGTGAATACAATGGCAGCAAAGTACGAGATTGAGAGGTTTAATGAGAGCAATTTCTCACTGTGAAAAATGAGAATCAAGGCAATCTTAAGGAAAGACAATTGCTTGGCAATAATTAGGGATCAGACCGCGGAGATCACTGATAATGCAAAATAAAATGAGATGGATGGCAATGCTATTGCTAATATACATTTAGCATTAGCCGATGAAGTATTATCAAGTGTGGCGGAGAAGAAAATAACTAAGGAGATATGAGAGACTCTAACAAAGCTATACGAGTCCAAGTCTTTGCACAATAATATTTTCTTAAAGCGAAGACTTTTTACCATTCGAATGACAGAAACCACTTCAGTGACTGCTAACATCAACACAATAAAAACTCTATTTTCACAACTCACTATATTAGGTCAGCAAATAGAGAAAAATGAACGTGCAGAGCTTCTACTTCAAAGTCTTCCTGATTCGTATGATCAACTCATTGTCAACTTGACAAATAGTATCCTCTCAGACTATCTAGTCTTCGATGATATTGCAGCCACTATCTTGGAAGAAGAAAATATGTGCAAAAACAAAGGAGACAGAAACAGTTCAAACCAAGTAGAGACGTTGTTGGTGTCAAGAGGAATATCAATGGAGCATGGCTCCAATAGGAGTAAAAGGCAGGCGAGGTCCAAATCAAAAAGTAAGAAGACTATGAAATGCTACAACTGTGGCAGAAAGAAGCACTTCAAAAAGAATTGTTCGTTTAAAAAGGGTATAGAGAATACTGCAGAGTCATCAAAATCTCAAGAATGTGTTGCGAGCACCTCAGAAGATAGAGAGGTTTTATATAGTGAAGAAACGATAATCTCTACAGATAGAGAAGAGCTCACTGAGGTCTGACTAATGGATTCAGGAGTAATATGGCATATGAATCCTAATCGAGATTGATTCCATACATATAAACTCATCTCTGGAGGCAAAATGTTCATGAGTGATAATCATGCTTTAGAGATTGTTGTCATTGGCACTATCAAATTAAAGATGTATGATGACTTAATTTGTACTATTTTAAAAGTGCGACATATGAAAGACTTAAAGAAGAATCTTTTGTCCATAGGACAATTTGATAGTCTTGGCTGTAAGATCCGAACAGA